GTAGTACAACTTACTCTAAAGTTTTGTCCGATCCACTGCCACGTTTTGAAATTACTTCCTTAATATTTGCTTCTAGTGTTGGAAGAAACCTTTTGATGACTGAGGGAAATTCTGGCTTCAAAAATAATAACATTCGCATAAATATTTCTGAAGTAAAACTGAGGTACTTGATAGATAGATTATTTAGTACAGCGTTTGTTTGCTCCCTGTCAAGAGTAAGCAAAACATTTTTAAAAAAGTATTTAATATTTGAGTAGCTTCTTAAATAGATTAGGAAAACTAAATCTACCTTACCAAAGACTTGGCACCGTTAAAAATGATTCAGCTTCAAATATGGTTTTGAATGTTTTCCCAACTTCTTTTCTCCTTGTACTTGCACTCATATCATTGGCTCTGGCAACTACTTCCAAACAGTTGGGGAATACATGATCAATTAGAACTCCTAATAACATTTCATCAAATTCATTTCTTTTGACAAGTTCATTGATTAAATTCAAACCCTACAGCAAAAAAATGAAAGGATTAGTATTTAAGACAATTTCAAACATATTCCAGACAGTAAAAAAATCTCTACCTGTAAGAAATATTTATGAGGTAAATTTGTACGCTGATCTAGGCGAAGTAATGTATTGCACACAGTCTGTAAAGTGTAGATGGCAGTTGGCATATGCTCTGGCTCATCCCATATTTTTGAGAATGGGTCATTATGGGGTGTCACTCCAAACCGTGGAACATAAACAGTCACTATTTCATTGAAAAATCTTTGTATGCATTTTTCCTTTTTGGGATCTGAAAGTGGATAGAGCATTTCTCTTTAACAGAAAACTCAGAGAAAACAATCATACTAGCAAAATGGTGACCTTGTTGCTATCTTACCTAGTGAGTGTAACCCTATTAAGTAGAGATGAAGTGACTTTCGCAATCCTTCATCCATTGCTAATGGCAATCTGACATCCATGTCAAAAACATTCTGTGGTCTTATTAGGGTAGTGATAAGAGTAATCAAGAAGTTGGAGGAGGTGTTCTAAAAGGCAAACACATAGTACTCTAGTGGTTTAGTCGACTCTTTCTATATAATGATTGAACAGAAGTAAAATAATATATCTTATACCTTTTCATATATAAAGGATGCACAATTACAGAGAAGCTTTCCATAAATAAAAAACACTCTCACAATGACATCTTTAGATGGTTCAAATATGTGTGTTTTGTCTGATTTCCAGCTCGCACTTACATCTTTCAACTTGGTAGGGAACAGTGCTGATTTAATAACAGGCACCAAATTTTTTAAAGGCTCAATCAGCACTTGTAAAAAGTTTTTATCCTCTTTGTCACACTGAATTGAAAACAATGGAACACAGAAATTTTACAATTTCAGTAAATGAGAAAGCACTATTTCTTTTGTTTTGGGAAGACTTACATTTTTTAGGACCTCAATGAGATGGATCAGGGGATCAGAGATCCTGTCTAAATTATCCAAATTGGTGTCCTTGATAAATTTCTTCACTAGCGGTAACATGAAAATCTGCTTAGTTACACTTCTACTTTGATCCTGATCAATACTCACATTGAGAGTACAGCAGCGTACCCATGCCTAAAAATTCAGATTACATATACATTAACTGATAGATAAGCTAGGGCAATTAAAAGACCATGAAAAAATGTTCACAATCACCTGAATGAAAACTGCTTGCTGTTTTTCATCTGCTTCAATTATATTACGGACTTTTGTTAATGCAAGAATTTTGCACAGGTATCTTTGAACAATACTGGAAAAAATTAAAAGCATGGACTTCTTTTAAAAAAACTCTGGGATTAGGATACAATTCAAAATAATAATAGAATAGAGTAAAACAGATGCTTTGATAAATTTAAAAGAAACAAAAAATCATTTCAGTTAGATACCTACACTAAGTTTGATGATTCACTGATCATGAAAAACTGTAAGAGACTCTGGAATGAGTCTTTGCAAGATGGAGGGATATTGAATTCAAGTGCAGCAATAGTAAAATGAACTGCTAGATCAGCTATTACTTCTGAGGTAGAATGTCTTTGTTCTTTAACATATGACAGAAGATTTTCACGAAGAGCACACACCAGTTTTTCTATACCACCACCAACTAGACAGTAGAAACATAGATCAGTGTACTGTTTAATCTTCCTCTAAATACATTTGTAAAAATGTCATCATTACAGACCTAAGTTGTTAGAGTCCAGAACCAACTGTACTTTTTGCAGGATAACATTCATAAGTCCCAATAAATTACGAATGGAGTCTTGACGGCCATGACGTAAGCAGAGACTGATCCATTCATTTTCTAAAATGTTATCAATTATGAATAGTTATACGAAAGAAAACATTAGTCAAATTTTTAAACAGGATATATACAGATAACATACCACACACCAGGTGTAGATCAGCTGGGAGAAATTCATTACTATTAATTATATACTTCAACCCTTCATAGAATGCCTGCATTACTGGGGTTTGATTAAGTTTGATGAACATAACCAGTTTTTCTGTTAAATGAGATATAAGATGAGCAAATGGTTTGCCTTTTTGAGCAAAGAGATAGATAAAACAAAGTTGGGCTTTCATGACCATCTCATTTCGTTTCTCATTAGAATCAGTAAACTGCACCAACTTCTGGAATTTGAGGCCCTAGAAACGATCAAACACATAAAACATTAATCACATTGAAACTGTAAGCAAATACAATCCCTCAAATATCAGTAAAAATCTGTTCTGAAAGGGAACTCACCATTTCCTCTAAATCTGTCTGTGCAGCAACAGTCAAGAAAAGCTGTGTGAGATGGTACAATCCTATTTCACTTAAACCATTGACTTTGCGTTCTGAAAGCTTCGAAAAGAAACGGCCAAACATCTTTTGCTTCCATTGCTTTTCGTCATACCTTAGATAATTGCCTGCATAAAATATAAGTGCAATTACAGTACTAAAAACAAAGTCAATTAAAACATAGACAGAAATGCTCTGTATACTAACTTAAAAGAGAGAGGAACATATGATAGCTATTGGTTTTGCTATGTTTACTTGGAAATTCACCATGATCAACAGAGTTCAAAATATCTTTAATTGAGTCACTGAAAAAAAATAATTCTAAAAATCGAACACTAACAAATATTAAAACAAATTAAGGAAAATGGTAACACCATTTTTTTACCTAGATACCGCATAAGAGTATGCCAGGGCTCCTGGTAGCTGAAAAGCAGAATCTAGTTTACGGCAAAATCCTTCCCACAACATCATTATAGGTTCAGGTTTAGGTTTCCATGGATCTGTCATGAGATTCTTTACAAGGCTAACTAAAACACGGCGTTGTGATTCGTCAATGTCAGATGGGCCAGTTACATTGCTCAACACTCGCTTCAGCATAAGGTGGCCACTATCTATCTCCTGCAAGAAACAAGAAAGTCTATAAAATCAAAATTATTACACTGAATTCACACTTTCCTTCATAATTTCTACTTGGTGTGAGACTTACATGTCCAGCCATATACACGACATTACCATCTGTAGCATAACGGAATAGTTCAGCAATGTGACACAACAGCCAAAGAGAAAATAGACCTGGTTCTACACAGGCTATTTTGTTGGGCACTCTCAGGGGATTCCACTCTTTTTTTGAAGAATTTAAAAGATTGTCATCTTTAACTAGCATCTCAAAATGATTTTCTAAAAGTTTCCAAAATGACTAAAACAATCAATAAATATTATTTATACCACAAAAAATAAGAAAATAGGAGCAAACAATTTTTAAAATGAGGACTTACCTTAGGATCATGATTATTATTAGTTTCGACAATGAGTCTTAAAAGTAGCCACAGCTCTTTAACACACATGCAATTAAAAGGGGATGTATTTACTATATTTTCCATGCTCATCTAAAAAATGAAAAGAGCTGCGATCAGTTAAAGAACTGTAAACAAAAGAATTCAATGGAAAAGACGTACAGTACCTTATTGAATTTTCCAACAACCATTTGGAAGAGATCAGCTACACACAACTCTACAGTTGAATCTAATAAGTTCTGAAGATTACAATCAGAAGAAATGGTCTGCAAATTTACTGACATTTGAGATGACTGAAATCTTGAAGGTGCATTCAGACACCAGTTCAGTGTCCACAAAACGGATATATGAAGCCATCTCAATTCAAGGTGGCAGTGAAATAAATGAAAAGCAGCAGAACTCTTAGTATAAAAAATGGAAAGCAAGAAACAGAAAATTATTTAAAAATTATGAGAATGGCACAGGAATTGTTTTCAGTTGCTGTCAAATACCTTAGAAACTCCTCTCACATATGCATGGTTCCGAACATAGCTAGGGAGATCAGAAAGCCACCCTAAATGAGCACGAATCAGAGAAAGGCCTTTCAGAATGGACGGGAGCAATTCTTCTAATAACCATGAGCATTCCTCATCTATGCTCTGACTAATGAAAAAAATAATTAAAGAAAAGAAATCAAATTTAAGTGTGAACCTATGTTTATAGCAAACTCACGTGGCCAAAATAATTCGAAGCATGTAGAAAAACTCTCTAAGCTCTTGCCGTATCTCAGAAAAGTTAGGTTCTGAGCTGTTGCCACCAGAAAGTAATCCATATGTTCCAGCATTCGATTTTACAGCAGCATCAAGAATACAAATACGGTTTCTAAAATAAAATAATTATGAGAAGGGTGATTACAACCTTTTGTAAAACTATAAGGTTTTAGATTGAAGACTGCACCTGCTTATTCTAAAAAGTTGGTCTAAATCTTCCTTGCAAGAGCTGTCAATATCCAATAACTGATCAAACACCAACACGAAGTTCTGCCTCAAACAGGTGTCACTTGAAACGGTGCCACGTAAATCGCCATCGCCTGAATGGATAAAACCACTTCGGTCGAAGACATTGCGTTTGTTCGCTTCAACACAGTGAAAGCCGTACCCTCCTACAAGACAACATAGTAGACATGTAATAAAAACACAAATAAGAGGCCGGTTTAACCTCCCAGGCACTGATTGGTACGAAACTTTTATACCCTTTTGTTTGAGTAGATCAATCGAATCTTGCTCGACATCACTCCCAGGAGATTTGGGAGGTGTCATATTCATGATGGAAACAATTTCAACTCATGACAACCAGCAGAAAATATTCGAAATGCCCGAAATTGTTTACTAAAAGATACAAAGACGAATACAATACAAAGGCAGAAGACCGCGCAAACGCAGTCCAGCTTCAGGGAGGATAGGAGCTCGCATCATCATCGCGCACACATCCTCCCTTTTGGAGACGGCGATTAACGCGCGATACTTAAACCGGCATCGAAGAAAGGAGCACGACCATGCATGATGCGACTCTATTTTCTTTTCTGACAGTTCTTTAAATCTTTACAAGTGAAAAGGATGTCCGAGTGTAGGTGGGATAGGGGAAAAATTGGGGGGGGGGGGGGGACGAACAGTTTCAGAGGAAGCGCAACCGCCGGAGTTTTTATTTCCAACGCGCCGCGAAGCGGATGAACATTCCACAGTTTTACAGGGCGGGGTAGGCGCTGCCGATGGTGGAGAAGCCGTCCCTGAGCTTGAAGCTCCACGACTGGATGTAGAAGTTGACGCCGTTGGCGGAGACGTGGCACTTTTGGTCCGGGCGCGCCAGGAAGCACAAGGTGTACAGGGACATCTCCAGCTCGGGGCTGGCTCCCACGAACAGGCTGTTGACGGGCTTGTTGGAGCCCAGCCACTCGAAGCGCAACTTCAGGAGGGTGCCGCTCTGTAAAAGGGCGAGAAGTGTATCATGTTCAAAACTGTATACAAGGGCAACCGTTTTTCTTTTTTTTGAGGGGGGGGGGAGGTGTTTGGTACCTGGCCGAGGCTCAGCTTCTTGATGTAGCCCTTGTAGTCCACGTTGCCGTTTTCCTCCTCGTGGTTGTAGAACAGCCAGGAGTGCATGCCGGACACGTCGCCGCGCTTGAGCTCGCCGAGGAAGACGTGCTCGAAGGCGGAGGAGCCCAGAACGCCGCCGCCGCGCGAGTACAGCGAGAACCACAGCTTGCGGAGGAACTCCTTCTGAGCGGCCTTGCCGGTGGGGACGAGCCCTGGACGCCAAAGAGGAATGCGTTCTAATTTTCCAAAAAAGTACTTTTGGGGGAAATTTTTCGAGAATTTGAAAAAAATCTTTAAATTTTTCCAATGTTTTTGGAAGTTTTTGCAATTTTTCAGAAAAATCTTGAGACTTTTAAAATTGTACCCTTTTCGGCGAGGAAGCTGAGGGTGTTGGAGAGCACGGGGGTGGCCATGAGCCCGTCCAGCAGAGCGCTCTGCTCCTGCTTCTCCTGGGCTGTCTCCTTCTCGGCCACGGTGCAGTCGGGGACGTAGTTGTCGTACAGGGCGGCCAGCAGCTTCACGTTGGCGTTGGCCGACTTGGTGGCGGCGTCGTTGACGCTCAGGAGGCTGCGGGGGAGGGAAGGGGCGGGTCACTCCCGAGGGGGACGGCGGCTTAAAGAAGCAGGCGATAGAGCCCCAGTCAGTCACCCGACTCACGGGTTGGGCGCCTTGTCGTCCGTGGCACTGGAGTAGGTCTTGCCCTGGAGGTCGATGCTGACGAGCTCGGACAGCGCGTGCTTGTCGATGCTGAACAGCTTCTCGGACAGTTGCTTGATCTCGCGGTCCGACACCGCAGACGAGGCGCTGCAGCCACCTGCGAACAGCAGCAGGTAAGGAGATTCAAAAATCGTGAATTTTCCGATGGGAAAAGTAGTAACTTTTCCAGAAAAAATCGTACCATTTTTAAGCTATGCAGAAAAATTTGATTAAGTTTAATCTACTCAGTAAAAAAAAATATAAATCTGCCGGCAATTTTTTAAAAATCTTTTTTCTAGAAAATGTTAATCTCTTCTCGAGGGGGTGGGCTTGCGGGTGGGAGGCTAGCAGGGCAACACCCTGGGCAACACACTCACCGACGGCGAGCAGCGCTACGACGATGCACAAGAAGCGGGCCATGTTGTCGGAGGAGCGAGGTGGAGCGGCGAGGACAGGCGGGCTTTTATATCCGGGGGGCCACGAGCGCGGGCCGCGACAGCTTGCACTTGTGTGCGTCGACCCGCCGAGCCGCCGCCGACTGTTATTCGCTTCACTGCGTCCGCCGTGCGCGCCTCGGCTCGGCTCGGCCCTCGCTCACCTGGGCTCGGCTGGGCTCGACTCGGCTCGGCACGAGCGCCGGGCCGGGCGGGGGGCTCCTGCCGACAAAAGTCGTCGAGAGCCGGCGAGTTTCAGTTCCTTCAACACTGCACTGGATTCCTATGGGCCTTTCTTTGCCCATTTTTCCCGCAGAGGCCGCCCGAGCCCGAGAGGGTTCATTCACCGCGAGGACAGGGCATCTCGTGATCACCGGTGGTGGTGATCACCCTCAACCAGCCGCTATCGCCGCGCCACAGCAGCGTTGCCTAACGAGCTATGGGACCGCAAAGGTGATTTGGTTGCGTTAGGTCCGATCCCGGAGGGTTGCCTATACATTCTGGTCATTCCCCCCAACTTGACCAACGCGCGTGCATATTTTTCGAAGCGAAAAGGTGTCTCAGTCGATATCTCCGGATATCTCAGTCGGACACGATA